AGAACCTGCTACGGTGATGTAAAGTTATATAAAATACAGATATCCCCGTGAGCACAAGACGTAATTTCCACGTTGAAATATGGTTGAAATCGGGTTTCAACCGTCTAAAAATGGGATGAAACATCAACGTGCCAGAAAACGTTAATTTGTTGATAAATGTGTCATGATGTAACGTAAGGTTGAAAGAGAGACGATATTAACGTTAAGATTTTCATAATAATTAATGAACTGGTCGGCGAAATTTGGTCTACGCGAAGACGTAATTTCAACGTATTTAATATTTCACTTAAAACGTCATAAATATGAAACTACGGAATGTGTGCTGTTAAGAAGATGCGTTTAATACATAATAATGCGGGCAGGTTCAAACATTACTTGTAAACACGTGACTGCGCTCACATCTGTAACGCGCATGCGCGAGTTCTTAGACGCCTGCAGAGCTCCGAGCGGACGCAGCACGAGGCGAAGTTACGGCAGCAGAGCGACATGAACGGGCTGATAGAACCACGACTACCGGCTCCACTACTCTGTAAGTACGCGAGTGTTTGGATGAAGCACACATGGAACTATAACCGTGTGTTTTACTTGTGCTGCCCACCCGATACGGGAAAGACGGTCCTTTTTGTTAAGCTAGTTAGCGTTAGCGCAGGTAGTTTGCTAGTTAGCATGCTAGCTTGGAGCATGCTAGCGTGCAGCATGATGACCTGGACCAAAAGTAAACATTCCAGACATTTTTGTGTGTGTTTGGTGTTGCTAATGCGTTAAATTGTTGCTGTACCCATAAATATTATTGCATTTCACATTGAAAATACGTTTTTAAAGCAATGGGGCTAAATACAGATTGCAAGGGTGAAGGGCTGAATTCAACAAGTTGTGCTCTGTAAACAAGAGGCCGAAACATTGTAAGTTACTGCTGCTTAAAGCATGATACTGTGTAATATACCTGGAAATGTTACTCCAGAAATACCATAAGTTGCAGATTGATTGTTATCTTGTTTATAATGTAATAAGTAAACCATCTATAAATTAGTGTTCTAACACACCTGCTGCTGTTATCATTATTAGTTTATTACTGTCATCATAAACCCAAATGACCAACTTTGCCTTTGTGCTTTCCCACCTCACAGGTTTCTGCGGGTGGTGGTTGCATCTGACGGAGGTTACGTCTGATGATGGTTGTCCCTGCACTGGTCCTGCCTTACCCCTGGCTTAATAATCCACAATATTAGAATCATTTCTGTTGTAGGAATCGGATGTACTGTACATCTTTTAAGTTGTTCACACCTTCTTCTCTACTGTTTTCCCCTCAGGTTTCTCCAGGTTGAAGGTTTTTTACATTTTGGGGTTTAGGGGATAGGTTGTTGCATGTTTACAGATTGCAAAGCTGAACAAAATAAAATGATTTGAATTGAATAAACACGTTGACCAGAGGAATCTGCTCCGTGCACTCTGACTCCCTTTACACAAAGAATCCTCAAGTGAGGATGAGGGAGATGCAGCTGATTTCAGGTATAGTATCCCAACTTAAGTGAGCCACATCTTGTTACAGAATCTATAATGAAGTTCCAATGATTCAGAAAAATGGGTCTAAAAAAAGAAATTGTTGAACACAGAAATGTTGTTTCTGCACTTTTAAATCCATAGTTCATTTCCCTGAAATATATTTTTTATTTTTGTATTGTTTTTAATTAGGAAAAGTGTTATATGTATAGTGTTATATTTGTAATAAATACAAATCAATAAAATAATGTGTTTGTCCTTGTTAAGGGATGTTAACATGACAACTGTGACTAATCCCAGTGAGCATTTTTTGGTTGAAAAGACGTTTAAAGGACATCTATGCCCGACGTTGAAAAGACGTCTATGTTTAGACCACATTTCAATGTGATTTTTTAATACGGTAATATTTCGTCCTCTCTTGTGTGCTATTATCATTATTTTAGAGGTTCAAAAGGAATATACATTTAAAAAGAACATGATTTGTTTAATAAATAAAGGATTTACAAAGTAAAAAAAAAAGAATTTTTCCTGTACAAATGTCCATTATTTACTTTTGACACATATCAATACAATACATTATATGAAGAATAAATTGACGTTAAACGTTAGTAAGACATTACATTATGACAGCCGTTTATATTAAATTAATTCTCTTATGTGTGTGTTGTTTTTTCAGTGTACAAGTGCAATATTTTATTCACATTGTTTGAATCAAAATCATGGCGGTGAATTAACTCAAACAATGTTGGGATCTTCCATCATTCGGCCTCACTGTTGTCTCCTACGATGTCTACTCCCTCTTCTTCCTTCTCTTTGGTCCTCCTCGTCATCTTTGAGCAGACCGCCGAACAGAACGGCGCCCAAAGCCACGAGGGCACCGACACCCACTATGGCGGCTCCCCCAATCACAGCCGCTCTCTGTACCTGCGAGGAACACGTGAGCGAACGGACATTGTGGGTTTTAGTATCAAATTTTGGCTCATATTGAAAATGGAGTTGCTGTCATAACTTCCCGAGCGTTGAATCAGTTAGCTAACGTTAGCGCTTTCGCTAGCTCGCTACCAAGCCTGCAGTTTCCCCTTGAAAACACCTTCAACTGCAGAAAAATGATCCGTGCCACTGGGCTTTGATCCAGTGATCAGCTTCTAACATAAAATGTTGCTCAATTAACATTCCAACAGGAGACATTCCAACAATGTAGCACCTTAATACAACAGTGAGATATAATACAAAGTACACAAACAGCAGCAAAACAAAGCGAACGGAAAGTAGATTTACAACAACACGATAGCATCGCCTTGCCCGGCTTTCTGTGTAACAGGGTGGTCTGATTCAACAAGCTTTTCATTTACTTTGCAAATCAGCTTATTAATCATCCTACGTTCTTCGAAGCAGCAGCAGTCAAACTTCATTTAGCACCAATCAGGATGTGTGTTGTTACGATGTGTGATGAACCATATCAGGTGCAGCGTAGCACTTTGAAGTCAAGGGTCATATTACTGTTGAAAATACGTAACCTTCTCTTATGATTACATTTTGGTTTGGAGTGATCTCCTCTTTCAGTCATCTGTCTTTACAGAACATCACTTTGTGAATTAGTGTTTCCAGGATCTTAAGTGCTGAAATACAACGTTGGAGTGAATCATGAATAATGCACCACCCACCTGTCGAGACTCCGGCTCTCCGTACCGCAGCCCGGTGACAAAGTGCTCGCAGTTGTAGGTGGCGGCGCTGTACGGCAGCTCCCGGCCCACCAGCTCGCACGCCTCCCTCACGATGACGCCGCGATCCCGAGGCTCCTGCCTGTGATCCAACAGGTTGTTGATTTGGAATCGGTCGTTACCGACGACCTCCCAGATCTTGTGGCACTCCACGGTGCCTACAGTGCTCAGCACTGTCATCATGACCCCAAAAGAGCCCGAGTCACTACCTGTGTGTGCATACGGGTCACAGGTGAGACAAACAGGACAGAAGTTAAAGTAAAGAACCAGGGAACGATTCAAGGTGACTTCTGCTCTGAGGCGGAGCTATTTAAGGAAAGGTCACTGATGAAGGCAGCTTTTTACTCACCTGGAGTGGTCAAATGAACAACTTCGTTGCCACCGATGTAGAGAGCCCAGTGCTGATACCCTGGGCGGAAGATCTCGATCAGGTCCCCGGGCTTTGCATTGTGATTATACTGAAATGATTTGAGAAACAATCATCATAAGAATAATAAACGGACATCAAAACATCAGCAGCAGACCTTAAGTGAAGGATGCAGGAGCAGCTTTGAATAAGCACTAAGCAGCAGCAGGAGACTCACCGGTGTAAGAGCCATGTCTTCAGGACAGAATCAGCAGCAAGTAACAATGCAGGAGACGTGCGGCGAATTTATTGCTGCTCAAGACTGAAACCTAAGCGTGTTTACGTATCACAACTGAACAGAGGAAGATTAGATATGCACATGTGCACACGCCTTAGTCAATGTTTGACTGAACGAGCCGATGCTAGCGCTGTGTTTCACGGCCTGTCAGGCGGCGAGGAGGGAAAAGGATAGGTTTCATTTCTTGTGAATTGTTCAGTAGGTGCAGTCCTGCTACTGCAAAGTTTCAGGCCTTTGTGGTAAAGAGATCTCATCAAGCCATTGTAGCTGATCTTAAATGTTTTATTTTACAATGAATGAATCAGCTTCTAACAGATGAAATTTCCCTTTTTCAAATCCCAGTTAATGATCAATATCATTAAATTCACTTTGAGGGGACCTGACTATACCAACGCACACAGTCCAACAGCAGCGCGTGATACAAACAGATGACTGCAAACAAAGAAACATACATGAATGTCTTTACTTTTTTTCATGTAACAGTTAAGTGAAATATTTTGGCTTTGAGGTGGATGAAAGTAAAGTTGACTATTTACACCTAAATTCAATTCATAGTTAAAAACTTGTTGTTGGGGCTCAGGAATATATTTATGAGGTGAAGGTTGGCAACAATGTTTCTAAACCATTTCATAAGGTGATGATGTAGTTTT